TACATATAGCATTATAGGAGGTTTCTTAGAGAGGTCATTTCTTCTTCCTAATATTCATGCCTTTGGGGTACTTCATTCATGAGCTTGCTTTGCTTTTGTAATTTAAAATTCTAAGTATGCTTGAACAACAATTTAAACTCAGCAAGCCTGATTACATGTACCTTTTGGTGTTAATATTATCTTGTAAAATTCTCCTTTCTTTTCGTTATTAATAGTGAGACATAAGAATTTCTTATAAATCAGAAATACTATAGACTTTCACTTAGTCGCTCAAACATAAAAGTCCAAGAGCAATCAGTCTGTACCAGGGGAAATAGAAAATGCAAATTTCTTCCCCTTAACTCTACCTAATTGGCCTACCATATTTTATCTAAAGCATTACTTTATTTTCCAATTGCATAGGAAGTTTTGCTAATGGTAATATATGTCTGAGTGTGAAGTTCTAACTTCAAACTGCCAGAGACACAAAAGATTTAATATATTGAGTACTTACAAAACCAGAAACATAACTATCGGGGTAAAAGTGCAGTAGCCTACATGGCTTGTAGCTGGGCTATGTGAATGCGAATTTATGCTAAAGATGTCAAATCAGCTACACAAATTCTTAGCAGATTTTTTTTTTTTTTTTCAGTAGGACATAATTTGTAAAGCTTACAGCTTCAAGCAATGCTGGGTGCTCAATATGTTTGCTTTCCTCCACAAATGCTGATCACAATTTTTCTCAAGTCAGTTTTTTTCAATTTGTGGTGAAAGTTAATTTATTTCCTAGAGATTAAAAAGTGTGCCCTGTATATTGAACTAAAACGATACACCGTCCTGACTGAAAAAATCAAACACGTGCCACATCTGTGGTGTTTTCCAACTGAACTATATTGGAATCTGAGCGTAGCAATATGCTACTATTCTTCCTGCATTGAGAAAATGCCAAAATTATAAGATTCAAAGCTGATACTAAAGCACATTGTCCATCATGCACTGATTAGGCTAATCTTTCCCTGAATTTAGTCCTGTGTTGCTGCTCACGCTGAGACTGCATTGCTAAGACTCTGCTCACATACATCACTCAGACAGGTTTTTTAATTAATTGTCATTATATAATAACTTAATTAGGAATCAAATATTAGGTCAAATATGCCGGATACCTTCTAGGAGTTTGTAAGATGATGAAAAACACAAGCCAAACCTATAGCCATTTCAGAATGGTTCATTATATTTAAAATAAATTTAAAATCCGGCTTCTAATAATTTGTTAACTAGGGGAGAAATGTGGTGACGGAACTCAGCCACATGCCAGAGCATGTTAATAACTGGCTTTCTAGGAAGTGCACGTGGTGGCTTGTGGCATTTGCACGTCTGTGGTGTAAGGATTTCAATGGTTACTGACCTCAAGCTGCGTCATGATATTTCTGAATGTGGAAATAGAAGGAAGATTTCCCAGGGCCACCTCTAGAGCATAAATGGTATGTGGTAAAGACCTAACAGATATGCTCAGGGCTATGGGTAAACACTAAAAGTTGATAAAATGGTTATGGAGTAGAAACTTCAATTACCATCTCTAATTTTCATAAAGTTCACTCGATTGTATTTTATAATTTAATATTTGATTGGGTTTGTGTGTAACAAGGAGCTAATAAAACCCTCAAAAATTTAATCATCAATTTTAATGAGTCAACAAGACAAATTCTGTCATAGCACTGCAATCATTTACCTCACGGAGTAGTAACCTTTGCACAGGAAAGGTTTGGTTTGCTTGGGAAGAAAAGTGGGACTCTACGCAAATATTTCTTCTCTTTTTCCACCTGTCTTATTTTACTTAGGGGTGATTAGGCAGCATTCTGCAGCCAGTGATAGCTTTTAAGGCTTCATGGTTTTTCAAAAGAGGTATTAGTCTTACAAATAAATGACTGGCAGTTAATGACTTGGACTGCTGCCCTAATAGGGTGATGGGCCATCTGAAAGTATCTTTAATCACATGGATTAAATGGTTTCTGTGATACACTGGATTGTAGAACTGACCAAAGAATTTGCACAAAAGTCTGTGGTAGTATGAGACAAAGCTGGAGGTTTATCTATAAGAAAAAAGAACCTTCCCTATGCGAAGTAAATAAAAGATGGTTCCTAAGTATGGGTCTGCTGCAATCAAGCCTTTCAAAATTATAGGGGTAACTGTTTAGGGAACATTTCCCAGGCACTGGACCTTTTGTCACTGGGTCAATTATAATCAGGGTAACACCTTTCATTGGCTTTAAAATATCTCCCACCCTACATTTCTGTAAATGCAGAATTGGTACCTGCATCTGGTAGAAGGGAGACACATGTTTGAGGAAACAAAGTGAAACAAAGTATGCTGTTTGGAATTGTCATTCTTGCGGTTCATGTTTTTGGCTTAACATGACCTCCTCAAGTAGGGCCCTGTATCTTTTAAAAATGCATTACTATGATTACATTTATACAGGAGAGATTGAAAAACTTCTTTAATATTTGATTCAGAGAGTTTATCATCAGAAATAGTGGAGTGGCTGTGCAAGGATACTTGGACTATATCTCAGGAAATGAACAATAATGCTTACAAAACATGAATTTTCTTGATAAAAATCTACTTTTAGAAGCATGAACAAATATAGAGTTATGATGAGGAAATGATGATTATGCTGAAAATGAATGAAAATTCACATGTATTTATAGCACAATAAGTGCTACCCTTTATGACTTCTATATTAATATATAAATACATCTATAAAATAACTTCTAAGTAGTCTTCAATGAGTGTAAGAAGTTATTTTGTATGAAACATCTTTCAAACTATTTTCTAAAGTTGAGTTAAGGGGTTTTGTTTTTAAAATATAAATGAAAATTATTTCTGATAAAATATTTATATGTTGATAAATCACTTGAGATGAGAGCTCTTGCAATTGAGGCGCTACCATTTGATATATTACATGAGGCCTCATACCTTTACAAGGAAACCTCTGTCATCCCAACCTCTTTAAATCCAAAGGGACAATTATCTTTAATCTTAAATCCAAAGAGGTAATTAACACAATCACAAATTTTACCATTCTGGAGTAAAATCAAATAATTCAGATCTTATATTTAATCACTGAAATGAAGAATGAAGTCAAACAGAGAACAGCAAGATAATTTATCCCCAAATAGATCCTGAAGGTACAGCTCATTTTTATTAAAAAGGCTGTAAATGGTTTGACGACTTCTTCATGAATACACATTGGTCATTAGTTAGAATAATCAATTGGTAAGTCTAGTGTAAGAAGCTATACAAGGTTATCTTAAATTTGCAGTAATTTGAAGCATTCAACATGGGTCTAGAGATCTTTTTGAAATCCTTATTACAACAGGCATCTTAGACAAGAAATGATTATATTTGCTGTGGAAGATCTCCCAGTATCATCAATTACATGTGGTCATAGCTGAGAGATACCTACGTAATGAGTCTCCAGAACTTCCAAAGAAGAGTTACTCTCCAGATGGCACGCTCCACTGACGAAAAAGGAGAAAGCATAAATTCTTACATTTTGGGAAAATAAGTCTCATTTGTTCAAGCTCTTGTACTCTAAATTTCAACTCCAGTGATAAATCCTGAGCTTCTTTTTAAACTACCTAGTCTCTGCATTCATTTTCATTCATATTCAGCATCACAATTTGGAGAAGGGACAAACCTTCTTGTTACATTAAGAGTGAATGAAAAGATAATGAAGTTCGATGATCCTGCAGTTGTCTAAGCAGGCACATCAGCCCTAATGTATCCATTTTTGAAGTAATGACATTGATCAAGATGACCTCTAAGCAAAACACTGATTCAAAATTTTAGAAGTGGGATTATTTTACTGGGTAAGGATAAATTTAAAATTTAGGCAAATAGAAAATTATTGTTGTTGGTAGATGTGGTTGCATACATCAAAGATTCTGTTAGACTGCATACTTATACAACAGTAACTGCTAGAAAACATCTTAAAAGATACTCTTTCTGACTTTCACAAACTTGAATGCATGAAGCTCAAATGATGGCAATTCTCATTTTGGACAATATCAGACTGTTCATCTTCCATTTCCTGGAGATTCAGCCCCTCACAGTGTTTTGTGCACCATGCTACTAAACTTTCTGTACTGCCCCTTGCACAACTGGGTCACACAATCACTAAAGGAGCTTTAAAATGAACTATGGCTTGTGGATGCATTTCCCTGTGCTAAAATTGTCCACCTACCTGTTTAGGAGGTGGATTTGCATCTGGACTGAACAACAAAGGTCTTTAAAGCATACTTGTACTCTGGTTGAAAGGCCAACATCATGTGTTAACTTTAACTTTTTATTATTTCAACTTGCTAAATATTTTCAAAATCCTCCATATAGGATGGTGTATGATGAAGGCCATGAAGTAGCATCATGTGAGATCGCTTTCTTTTGCCCTCTTCTTGCTTCATTTTGTAGAGCAAGAATCATCTCCAATCGTGTTTTCTCAGTCTGACTTTAATCTAAATATCATACAGATGGTATTTACACTTTCTAACGTGAAACCATAGAGACTTGGAATACTCGAACGGAGCTAGAAATGACGATGTTTGATAAGATTTCAAAAATGAATTTTTTTGTGAGAATTATGATGTAAAATATCATGTAATTGCTATATTTGGGTAAACAACTATGAGGAAATTCACAACAATGAAAATAAAAAAATAAAGAGCCAGTGGAATTCTCCAAATGAAACGTATTTTGTGTTCCTGTTTATTTACGTGTTGGTAAGTTAGGTGTCGGCTTTTCCGTAAGTGCCCTCTGGAGGTCGGTAGTACTTGGGGAAAGCCATCAGCTGCAGCATGTTGAAAGCATACTTTCTGCATTTGATATTCTTCAGTACATTCTCTATGCGGCATCCTTCTCTGGTGAAAGGGGAAAAAGTACAACTTCATGAAACACAGAGTAAATAAATATGCTTTATTTGTTCAGTGCAGAGTTGCAGCAACAGTCCCAGTAAAAATAACAAAGATTCAACTCTACATTTTTTTTTCCACAAATGATGATACATCTTACAGAATTAAATCCTAGGCCAGGCCCAACACCATTATTGCCTATGGAAAGAGATGATTAAAGTCTCTTCATTCTTAACAGACATTTAAGGTTTAATAAACTCTTTAAATATAATTTGCTCCACAATACAACTTCACCCTAGTTTCATAAATATATCTGCCTTTTTGTAACTTTTCCACAAATTAATTTCATAGTCTTTAAAACACATTAAAATCTCTATGTAGCCCTAAGGATGTAGGCTCTAGGAATAAGGCATTTAATTTATTAAGTCTGGCCCTATAGATTCTTAAAGGAAAGTTTCATCTCTAGTTTACTTCATTATTTTAGCTGTGCAACAAAGAGAGGAAATGGCTTTCTGAACAGCCTGGTCCAAGTCTCATCTTTGTAAAGGAAGAGTGTTTGTCCACGAACAGTACAAAAGTTACAGGGGCTCAAATGGGTGCGTTGAGACACACAGGAGACCTTGTTAAAAAGAATAGAAAAGTACTCTGAAAGCCAAATCAACCTAAACAATAGTTACAAACAGGTTAATTTAATTACAAAACATAAATAACCATTCTCTCCAGAAAGTTACTGGACAGAAAAGGGTGAAGAGTAGCAACGAAATAAAACAGCACACAGGTTAATTTAAAAAATGAAACAGAAGTTTCTATCAGCAGATGGCAGCTATGTTATTAGCACAGTGAAAATAAAATCTGTAACCTCCCATGTCCTTAGGACTTAGCTCAGAGTTTGAATGAGTTATGCAAATTCAATCTTAGTTTCTTTAATACATTTAATAGGAAGAGGAACAGGAGGCTCAGAACTTCAAGCTTTCAGGATTCTGCTCTTTGTTTTTGTCCAGACAGTAATTTAAAAATTTTTCGTGAGCTAGTTAACAGAGGGACAACACTTTTCTATAAACAAAAAAGCAAAATAATTCACTTAATGCATAGTACTTTTTGTCTTTTAGGTTCTAGGAAAAACGAAAAACACAATTCAAACTTCTTTTTTAAAGTTCTGTGAATTTGAAAATGTAGAAATATTACAGCATTATCCCCATAATTTAAAGTCCAGTGTCATTTGTAGAAAAGAAAGGAATGCAACATAAAACTTATTGGTATTTGGCTAATAGTAATGCAAGACTTAAAATAAGCCACACAACTAGCAGGTGAGAGCTGACAAGCAGCAAGGCGACAGGGTAGAAGTGTCGAGACGTCGGCTTGTTATCGGTTAGACAGCCTGTTTCAGGGTCATCGGATTCAGTCAGTGCTCCCTGGGATGGTCTGCTGTTGAACAGGGAGGAGTTAGGGGAGAAAAGAAAACAGTAGAGCGTTCACACAGTAAAGAAATCAACCTTAAATACTCTAAAATGCAATATATTATCTTATGCAATACAGTTGTTCTGTATGAGGCATTTACACTGAAGAGCCCCAAGTGAATTCTGAATATTGTTTTCTCACTCTACTACACTGACAAAGGTATTTCAAAGATGAGACTTCTTTTACTTTTTGTGAAAAAGGAAAAAATATTATGATGATATTCATGTGGGTTGAATCTAAACGTGAAAGCAATAGTAAAATAAACGTAATAGCGTCAGTAAATAAGACTGCATGAAGAAAACAAAAACAGGTCAGCTCATAAAGATAATCTCATAAATACATCTTAGAGAAATAAAATAAGAATGCAGTAAAACACAGGATGCGGTGCAGCAATCCCATGTGTCTGACACACTTAGACATAGCTTCTATTGGTATTGCTCCTGTATAATGTATTTAAAGTTGTAAAAATGACTTATTGAAATGGTTTGGTCTTTAAAATGAAACATCTGACATGTCATCCTTACCAGCCATAATATTAGTTTAATGAAACCCAAGCCAGTATCCTTCTGTTAGCTCAGTGCATACACTGTGCTCCCTCCTGCCAATCTTGCTTAGGGAAAGCCAAATCTGCCCCCTCTGCGCCCCCAATCTGGATAGAGACCTCACTGACAAATCACTCTTTAGAGAAACAACTGAATTTTCCAGATGCTGCATTTTCTTTGTAGGTAAGAAAGGGGCAAGGAGGGCTTGCACATTAGATTACTATGTAACATCATGCAAAGTTGGTTAAAAAAAAAAAGTAAAAGGAAGATAGAAAAAAAGGTTAAGCATTATCTGCTCCTTTCAGCAGACCAGTAGAAATCAGCAGTACAATTATCCAAGCTGCATATGTACATCTATATTTCTTTTTCCCTTCCTTCCTTCTTATCTCCTTTAGCTCATATCATTCACCCCCCTTTGAATGGTTTCCTTCCTTGTCACAGTATCTATTGTACCTTTCAGATTTTATTTACTCTTTCAGGTTCTTCCACTAGGGAGACAATAGGATGTTTACAGAAGTGGGTTTGCTTTATTTCACTTGTGATGGTCCCCCATTCTTAAATTATACTATTTTCCACCAAAATGCACTATGTTAGTAGCATGATATATACAGAGGCAGCCGTGGCCAGCGGTCCCCATTTCAGCCTCCTTTGTCACTGCTCAGTAGAATTGGGCAAGTCAGTTGACATCATGTACCCCAACTTCCTTCTCTGTAAAATGGTGACACTAACAACAATGCTGCCTACTTCATGGACCTGCTTTGAGGGAAAGTGTGTCAGTTAATAATTAACAAGTCCTTAGAACAGACAATACATCAAATAAGTATTCTATAATAGTTATCTTCATGCCCTATTTCAGTAACAATATATATCAATTTTTCTTTCTTTTTCAGTAACGATATACATCTTAATAGGATAGCTAGATGACTTTTTACCTAGGATATGTAAACAAGGGAGCAAGCCACTGGGCTACACATTGGTTCTTACAAGTGGAGCAGGGAACCAGTGGAGCAGAGAACCAAGAGAGCTATTTCAAATGCTGAAAACATCTTAGTGTACCCACTCTTAGCCCAAGTGCATGATACTAATTTATATCAGAAGGAATTTTATCCTAAAATTACCAAAGCACATTTATAATTTTTGAATTATAATACTGAACATGCTGAGCATTTGTATATGCTTTCCTGGTGAACATTACTACATTGCAAAGACTTTTTGGGAAGGGGAATTTTTATAACTGAATCAATTTGTCATTTATTAACTGCGATCTCTGGAGATAAAAATGCTTGATACACATTCATCCTATCATTTGGCTGGACTTCACAACAACTAGACCATTTACTGCCATGAAACTTAAAGTTTGAAAGCCACAACTGATCATAGATACATGTAAGACTGACTGCCTTCTTCTTGCTAAGAGTAGCACCGATTGTCTTTTCTCCACAGCCACAGGTAAATGTTAAGCACTCGGCACTGCCGAAAGCAAAGGATTCACCAAGGAATAGTATTACTAATTTCTTCACCAGTAGACAATGACAAAGAATTAATTAGTGGCTACCTTACCAGACACAGAGACAATCCAATACCCTCCATTTACCTAGCACTAGCAGAACAACATGGAAGAAAATCCCAATGCTCACCACCCCCTTCTTTTTGAACAACCATCATGCCTAAGATGTTTGATATGCAGACAGATAG